CCACGGGGTTCAACGCGCTGCCGGCCCGGGGCGAGGAAGGCGGCGGCTCCCGTTGGGTTCTCCCCCGGCCCCACCGGTGTTTAGGGGATGGCGGGGCTGGGCCCGATCCGTGCGGCGGAACGGACAGAAGGAGAGCAGGGTTACCCCCCGGGTAGTGCTTCCTAGCGGGGGAGGTGGGAATCTGCGTCGGGAAGTGGTTTCGGTGAAATGTGCCGCCTTCTGTGTGTATGTCAAAGTTTGCACCATGAATGTTACTTTCTGGAGGGGAAACTTGTGAGCATGTGCTAAAAAAGAGCTGATATGCAGAGCCATGTGGAGACAGGTCCCGATCTCTAGCCTAAATCCCCCCGGGTAGTGCTTCCTAGCGGGGGAGGTGGGAATCTGCGTCGGGAAGTGGTTTCGGTGAAATGTGCCGCCTTCTGTGTGTATGTCAAAGTTTGCACCATGAATGTTACTTTCTGGAGGGGAAACTTGTGAGCATGTGCTAAAAAAGAGCTGATATGCAGAGCCATGTGGAGACAGGTCCCGATCTCTAGCCTAAATTACTAAGAGTTGCTTGTCTCTTGTGATGGGTGTAATAAAAGAGCAGTGGATACATCACTTATTTCATTAAGTATTTTTTCCTGTTCTGCAGCTAGTGGCATTCTGGCTATCGACAAGGCCAGGGAGCCCATCACCTTAGTACTGGCAGAAGACGGCACCATTGTGGATGATGAAGATTACTTTTTGTGTCTGCCAGCTAACACCAAATTTGTGGCACTGGCCAAGAATGAGAAGTGGTCCAGCAAAAGCTTAGGTATGCTGCGGATGAGGGAGCATGGAAGGGAGGGGTGTTTGGAATATACCTAGAGAAATTAGGTCAGGAGTGGCCCATGAAACTGATTACTCTTGTGGCAGATAGTGGAACAGCCTGGCCCTCTGAGTCTGCAGATGAAGTGGACAGTGGTGCAGAGAAGTGGAAGCAGCTGGCCAGGCAGCTGAAGGATGACCTGTCTAATATCATCTTGATGTCTGAAGAAGACCTCCAGGTACCATGGGGAAACTTCTAATTGCTGTCCTTATTTATCTCAGTAGATACAGAGAACAGAATAAGTAAACAACATCTCAAGCTTAAGTCAGCTGCTGCTGTTTGGCTGTGGTGCTAGTCAGATTTCTCCTTATTAGGTGCTTATTGACGTACCACGTTCAGACCTGGCAGAAGAACTTGCCCAAAGTCAAACCAAAGTCCAGGTATTGCAGGAAACCCTGCAGCAGGTGTTAGACAGGCGAGAAGAAGAACGCCAGTCAAGACAGCTCCTGGAACTCTACCTAGAGGCCTTGAAAAATGAAGACAGCATCTTAAGCAAAGTAGCAGGTAGGGAGCATGGGGGTGCTAGAGAAGGAGCTTTTCAGAGATGCCTGAAATCTCAAAACCATCAAAGCAGTCCAGGCCACACTTTTCCTGTCCTGTGTTTGTCACGAGCTATAACAATTCTGCTGCTTTTCAGAATCTGAGACTGTGCCAAGAAAGGAGATGGATGTGGTTGACACAGGTACCAGTAGTACCGGCACTTCAGCCAAAACAGCGCTCAGTGACCAGATCCTTGCTGCTCTGAAAGAGAAACCTGCTCCAGAGCTCTGCCTGGACAGTCAGGATCTAGAGGTGGGTGAGAAAGACGTAACCATATTCTGGCAAATCTCTCCCTTTGGAGGGAGGTTATAGGGGATGCTGTCCTTGCTCCTGGAGGGTCTAATGTATACCTCAGTCTCAAAGTGGCGAGATTTAATCTGCTTCTCTTCCTCAGTAACACTGCCCCCTGCTTGGTAACACTCAGTTGACACTATTCCAAGTACTCCAGTCTGTCCTCTGAAAAGCCACAAAATAATTTTGATCTCTGCCAAATCATAGCCAGTGCTTCAGCTGTCTTACCAGCAAGGAGGTTTTTTTATATGCAGATGCATCCAGCTATATTTCTTTTATACATCCCGAATCGAAATAAAAAAATCTTGATTTTGGAAAACAATGTAAATAAATCCATAGCTTGGAAAGGAAAGTCTTAACATGGGCAGAGGGGTTAGTGGTGGAGGAGCATCGGTAGAGAAGTTTGATGGAAATCTGTCTTGCTACAGCTGGTCTTGAAAGAAGACACACAAGCCCTGGCCTCGGCTCTAAGATGGGACACACAGAAAGCTGAAGCTCTGCAGCAAGCCTGTGACCAGGAGCTCTCCAAGCGTCTACAACAAGTGCAGACTTTGCATTCTCTAAGGAGCACATCAAAGGGCAAGAAAATGCTACCCTGCGGAGACTGGCCCAGTTCAAAACGCAAAAAATAAGACTGTAGTGCTGTTTGCTTTTTTTTTTCTTCACTAGAATGAATACAAGCAAAGATAAATCCTGAGAGCCATAGTCTGCTGGTCATACTGTGGTCTGGCTATAGACAACTAAAATCTGGACTTTGTCCTGAGGGTTAAACTCCTGTGACAATTAAAATCCCTTTGGTTACACAGGATTTGGACTTTTTGCAGAATACTACAACAATGGTATTGCTAAACACAGCATGTGAGGGTTCAGCATTGAATACGTGGTTGGGAGCCAGAAGCTTCTATCCGATAGTGATGGATCGAGCCTCTGAAGCCCCAGGCAGTTTGCTTACTTTGTCCTCCCACCATTGTCAGTGTACAGGATGGGAGACCTCAGGAGGACACTTAGAGGAACAGTAAATGAATGGGGCAGCGGGGTTAGCCTGCTGCTGTCTGGCTTCAAGCTCCAGCCTGGTATCTAGGAACATGGAATTCTCCTGCTGATTTCATCAGTTAAAGTAAATTCAAAGCCTTTTAACTTCTCTGCTTTTTGTGCCACTTGGGTGCAGTGTAAGCACTAACTTGGAAAACACAGCAAAGGTGGAAGTATTTGCTTTGTAAGGCTGTGAGGCAGAAGACTTGTATTTGGCCTGTCTGTACTACTCTCCTAATCATTAGTGTAGGATCATGATGCTTTTGTATTAACTGGCTTATTTTTAAATTTGTTAGTCTTTTTTTCTCATATAATTAAAACCTTTTTGCCCTTACTGCCTGACTAGTTTTGGTATTTCCACCAGCTGCTGTGATTGAAGAATGTGCTGGTAAGTACAGTGTTACAGTATTCCTACAGCAGACATTCAGATAAAAACACTGCATGTAGACATTCCAGCTGAATTATGGCACACTCAAAAGTTAAGACTGCCAGTGTAACTAATAAATATTCTAAACAGTTTAGTGCTTTTGAGCAGGTAAGCTAAAATACTTAGGGTAACTTCAGATGAAGCTGCCCATATGGAAACTGACTTCGGGGGGAAGCTTGCAGTCAACGTTTTGGGCAGTCTGTTTTGCTATGGCAAGTAATTGCTTCTTGCAATATACACTTCTGGCTCTGAAGATTATAAACCATAGCAGGTAAAAAGTTTTCCTGCTGCTTTAAATAGCTACAAGCTTTTTATGTTCAGGTATTTCTGAAATAGCATCTATGGCTGTGCATTAACAGCATTTTTGAAGCTGTTGCACTCAAAGCTAGTTGCACTGGCTACCAACTGAAGTAGCGTGCATTGAGTAGACCAACTGTCAGCAAGCTTCTTTGTGAGCTTATGCCTCAGCTTGTGATTATTCCTACTCTCTCCATTATAAACCAGTTTTTCAGTCTTGCTCAAAGCTGCAATGCTTTTGCTTTTCTCAAGCTCAACTTGCCAGTGAAAATTCTACTACTTATGCTATACAAGAGGAGAGAAGGGCTTTACCTCTGGCTTTTCCACATCTACTTAAAATAGCAGATAGCATAATTACTTCAGTCTTCTGTGTGTTAGGAACAGATCAACATTTCCTGTTGATTAGCAAATTGCTAGTTTATTATCTACCTAGACCACATCAGTCCATAGAATTCTAAAAGATACCGCATCCCTGAAAGTGGAACAGTTTGGGATAGGGGAAAGGGAGGGTAAAGTGTCATTGTGTAAAATTTCCTATACAGAGCCAGAGATGGGGTTTAATGACATTAATTTTCTTCTACACTGTAGCACTTGATTTTATTTGATCAATATTGTGTAGTTACAGCCTTAAAAAGGTGTGGGGTTTTTTTCCCCTTTCCACTACTGCTTACTAGCTCAAATACAGTGCAATAAAAGGGAGCACATGTAAGGAGTGGTGAGCATTGCTCATTTTCCATTGTGTCATGAATAGCTGAGGGACTGCAGAAAGTGCACTCTTCCTCCAAGAGAAGGGTTTTAAACACGGAACAAGGCTACACCTACAAGTTCTCAAGGGTGATCAAAAATATTCTGTCATGAAGTACCTTCTTTATCTTGAGGTAGCATTTAAGGTATGAGTCTTACTAAAATGAGAACCTGATGATTTTAAACTTGGTTTTGGGAATTGCCCTGAGCTGTATCCTTTAGGAAGGAATAAGTGGCTTCAAGGAAGACCTTGTCTCATGTATTGAGGGCTGAGCAAGAGAAACTGTTCAAGGCTTTCCTCTCTTACTGCGTAATTTAGACTATCCTTGGCAAGCATATTCTTGCTAGATAAAGTTTGCCCACGCAGTAGCTTAAGCAGCCTTCTCATTTCATTTGGCTATATCTGCCTAATACCTTATGTCTCTCAGTCTGCTGTTTGAATCAACAGCATTTGATACCCTCTGTCATTCCAGCAGAGGGCAATGGTGATACATTTCAGACCACGACTCCAGAGCCACGTTATTATAGTAAAATTACAAATGTAATGCAACTTCTTGAAAGTGAAGCTTGTGAACCAGCAGTGTCACGGGTGAAAAATAAGACAAAACATTTTTTAATTGTCAGACAACAAGTGAGAGATATGGCTATTAAACCAAAACTAAAATACTCAAAAAATGGAAACAAGGAGGAAGTGAAACCATTACTGGAGAAACAAAGTAGCAGCATACTGAAGTAGTATAGTCAGTGGGAATGTTCTGCTTTAAACTCTTTACTTAAAGGATTTTCTTTTTTATAACAATAAAATACTTTCTTGTGACAAATTAAGGCATTTTGGCTCTAAGCTTTACTGAATTCTAACAGACCTTTCATTTTTGGAACAAAAAAAATCCAACTAATCATGTTCATGTAAAAACCTAAAGTTTCGTTGCTGCTGCTAATCTGCAAGAGGAATCTCTAACAGATTAACTCTGCTTTTCTAGGATAATAAGAGAAAATGACCAGAGACATTACTTGAAAGGTAAATCATGCCATGTTGGAATCTTCACTTTCAGTCATCTTCAGCTGCTTCCTGTTCCTCAGAATTTCTCCTTCCCTTAGCTGCACTGGACTTCTTTTTCTTCTTCTCCTTTTGCTCCACACTACTTGATGTGATCTCATCACTCTTCTGGGTGATATACCTCAGCTGAGAACAATAAACTGATCAGTCATCTACTGAGGAACTTCATTTATTCATGAGAAATTAGAGAGATTTAAGAGAAATTAATGGGACAAATTCTTATTACAAAAAAAAAAAAAGATGAGAGACAGACACTCCAAAAAGGCTGACAAACATCGACTAGTTTTAATTCTTGCATGAAGCCTATGCTGGATATCCTCACATACTGAAATGCCCTAGCATTTGGAACCTCAACAGCCCTGTTGCAACCAGATCTGTGATGCATAGTATAACAAAGCAAAATAAGATGAAAATTTTAAAATCACTGGATTGTGCCCATCCATCATCTACAAGCCAGTGAAATTGCTTAAGCAGCAGTTGTTTCATCACCACCAGCCTTCTTTCAAACTTTCTTAGGAACTAACCAATTAGTTTAAGAATGCTGTGAGACAGAAAATACAGTGAATCTCACCAAAGAGTTGCTCCTTCTAGCCAAAAGCTTCACATCTTCTGTAGTGATTGTGCTTCGTTTTGCATGCCTGCATAAAATTAATAAATACCCCTTAACGTGTTTGCAAACAGCGGCTGTAAGAGACCATACAGCATCTAATTGAGAACACTAACTAGAAGGGCTCAGTAGGGACCCAGTAAACCAAACATGCCCATCTTTTCCAACTGTAATACACAAAAACCTTTCTTACAGGTTTGTATGTGTATATGTAAATTCCCACACTTTCTGTGTAAAAACAGTAGAATTTAGCAACCAGAACTTCCAAGTATCACTGTTCTTTTCCCTCTTACTTGCCAGTAGGTCACCATGTTTGTTAAGTTTTGACTCCTTGAAACATTCCTTTACCTTCTTGGAGCAGCCAGATGAAATGCAGGCATGCCAGTAAGCATGTCACTGCCAAACCATCCAGTACCACTATATATCAATGCATATGACAATTATACATAGTCATTAATCTAAACAACCACTTGTACCACATAAATGAACTTCTAAGATCAGGAAGAACCTACAGGGAAATATCTGTTTCCTCACTTCACAGTCCCTATTTAATCACCCAACAGAACCCTTTAAAATTTGAATTACAAGATATGTTTTAAAGATTATCTAGTTATTGGAGCTGAATGCAAAAAAAGAAAGCCTTTGTAACAATCAAGCGTTCCAGTACCTACCTTGCAAACATTTCAAGGTCTTTTGCAAAGTTCTCTGGAGAAAACACAAAGATGCCACATAATTTAAAATGCTAACTCCAAGTAGGAAGAGAAACATAGTACAGTTCTAGCTGTTACAATTTGCAGTCACCGCAAATTATCCAAGTTAGTTTTGAGAAGTGACCATAACTTGCTATTATGTGCCACTCTGTTGCACAGGTGGCCCACGCAGTATTTCCACATACATTTAAATACTTTTTCCAGGTTTAAAAACCAGAGTCATTCTTCCTTGTATTTTAAAAAACACAATGTAAGAAACAATGCACCAGCAATACCTAGTTCCAGTGCTATTTTTTTAAACCACCGTTTCTCCAGCAATTGCTCTTGAACAAACAGATAATATACAAACTTCTGTACCACACTGCCTGAAGGTGATCTCCGAGAGAGCGGCAATGGTTTGTTTGCTGAATTGCAGGTCTTTGTCTTCCGCAACATCCTGACACAGGCAGCCAACCGTGTAGTGAACCGCAGCCTTCAGCCTCTGCAAGGACCCAAGGCAGGGACAGGTCAGGTCTCTGCAGACTCATTTACCGCCTCTTGCGTAAATCATCAAAACTACTTAAAAGGACGCAACATAAGCGACAGTTTCCGCACCCCAGCACACTCTGCACCACCACGATCAGAACCCCCCTCCTCCCTCGCCGCGGCTCCATCTTGTCCTGGCTGGGCCCTTCCTGTCCCAGCGGCGCGGGGGGCCCAGCTCCAGCAGGGTGAGAGCGGAGCCGGGGCTGTGGACCCACGTAGGAGAC